ACAGGAGGAGCATCGATCTGCGCAATTGGGAACCGATGATGGTGTCAACCAAGTCAGTGAGCCTGACCAACCCAATCCGTTAATCTCCTCTTACGACAAGCATGGGTTGCTGTGAATTGTGTGGAACATTGTTGGGTATGACAACAAATACATTACAGCAAACAAACACCAGAATGCCTGTGAAAACACAATTTTAATTAATATTAACAGATATGAGAAGGTGGAATGTGTGCAATACAGGAATAAATGCCAATACAACATACATGTTTACAATGTCACACGACCATAGCTCTTACACAAAACAAACTAATTTACTTATTAACACTAAACAACAAAAATGTTATTAACTTTATTTATAAAACAGTTATCAAAGGTCGTTTTGATAACATACATTCGATACAGTAGTGTAGCATTGTAATTACACATCATAAAAATACCCACAGGAAATAGAACTTCTGTTAAATTAATTTTAATTGCAAGTTGTTGTGAGTCAACTATCACCTACCTTCAGGCCAATAATAAAACCGTTGTGGTTCCGATTACACCCCATTAAAATTTAGGATAGGTAGGATATTTTTATTTTTTTTATTATTATTATTATTATTATTTTTATTTTATTTTATTTTATCTATTTTTGGGTGGTGGTGTTGGGGGTGTTTTTTGGGGGTGGCATTTTTTCTGAAGTACGAACTAATAGCACATTTATCAATGAGTAATAGATTGTTTATGCAAGAAAATTCAGATTGCACACTTGCGGACATCATGTTGACTTTCTCTATCAGGATGTCCGATGTCAATAGCTGCCGGAAAAACGATGGCATCTGAAAGCTGATTTTATTCATACCTCTAAAATAAATAGGATCGGCACTAGAATTCAATCGTCAGTCGGGAAATCGGAACCAAAACATTTTTTTAGGCGTCATCTAAATACAGTAGATATACCAAGACTTTCAGAACTCCCTCCTTACTAATGCCACCACTTCATGATATATGCAGATCCTTACTCTAACAAACAAATTTAGGAACAAATTCCAGGCAGTGTCTTTTCATACTCAAGAACATGTTAATAAGTAAGTCTAAGATATCAAAGGGCTGGATGACTACATGGACTCTCCTAAAATGCACAAATGTGATAAATTATTTGATATCATGTGGTTCTTGGGAACAAAAAATGGTAAACAGAAACCCTTCATTTTGTTTTGAGAAGCCAAATGTAAACCACACCAGCTGTGAGGGAAAACAACAGGACGACTCAATGACATATAGCTTCACAAAACGCTGGAATGGACAGAAACGTGTCATCAGTGACCAAATCATCAACTCTAATTTCATAAGGTTACCTTCCTACAGCTGTCATATCTGAGCATGAATAGTTGCTCTTGAGTTTGGATTGACGCCTATTTTTGTGTCTTATTGAATGGAGTCAGCACATCAGGCATTATGAGATCATTTGTGTGCATCTCATTCATAATGACCATTTCTCACTTCCCATTATCCAAAAGTAAGCAACATATGATCCATGGAACCAGCACTAAGCTACTACCAAAACTAATGTTATTAAACTGCAGTCACCATTACATAAGGAATATTTCCTCATGAGAGCATGCCTTTCTTAGAATATGCAGTCCGATATGAAAAACCAGCACCCATCCACATGAGAACTTCAAAGCTATGTACTTGGATGTTTAAACTAGTAGGCAGAAAACAGATCCGTCAGTGACATTCATTTGTCATTATCTGTAATATAAACCTGAGTAATGAATAATGTTCATAAATGAAACATACAACTTTAAGGATGACAACTTCTTGTTTATTGCATAGGGCGACGTTTTGATGTACACCGTTATCAAGCTTTACACCGTTATCAAGCTTTACACCGTTATCAAGCTTTACACCGTTATCTGGCTTTACACCGTTATCAAGCTTTACAGCCGTTATCGCTTTACAGCGTTATCAGGCTTTTACACCGTTATCAGGCTTTACACCGTTATCAAGTTTTCACCGTTATCAAGCTTTACACCGTTATCAGGCTTTACACCGTTATCAAGCTTTACACCATTATCAAGCTTTACACCGTTATCAGGCTTTACACCATTATCAAGCTTTACACCGTTATCAAGCTTTACACCGTTATCAAGCTTTACACCGTTATCAAGCTTTACACCGTTATCAAGCTTTACACCGTTATCAAGTTTTACACCGTTATCAAGCTTTACACCGTTATCAAGCTTTACACCGTTATCAAGCTTTACACCATTATCAAGCTTTACACCGTTATCAAGCTTTACACCGTTATCAAGCTTGTTATCAAGCTTTACACCGTTATCAAGCTTTACACCGTTATCAAGCTTTACACCGTTATCAGGCTTTACACCGTTATCTGGCTTTACACCGTTATCAAGCTTTACACCATTATCAAGCTTTACACCGTTATCAAGCTTTACACCGTTATCAAGCTTTACACCGTTATCAAGCTTTACACCGTTATCAGGCTTTACACCGTTATCAGGCTTTACACCGTTATCTGGCTTTACACCGTTATCAAGCTTTACACCATTATCAAGCTTTACAGCGTTATCAAGCTTTACGACCATTATCAAGCTTTACACCATTATCAAGCTTTACACGTTATCGCTTTACCGCTATTATCAAGCTTTACACCGTTATCAAGCTTTACACCGTTATCAAGCTTTACACTGTTATCAAGCTTTACACCGTTATCAAGCTTGTTATCAAGCTTTACACCGTTATCAAGCTTTACACCGTTATCAAGCTTTACACCGTTATCAAGCTTTACACCGTTATCAAGCTTTACACACGTTATCTGGCTTTACACCGTTATCTGGCTTTACACCGTTATCAAGCTTTACACCATTATCAAGCTTTACACCGTTATCAAGCTTTACACCGTTATCAAGCTTTACACTGTTATCAAGCTTTACACCGTTATCAAGCTTTACACCGTTATCAAGCTTTACACCATTATCAAGCTTTACACCCTTATCAAGCTTTACACCGTTATCAAGCTTTACACCGTTATCAAGCTTTACACCGTTATCAAGCTTTACACCGTTATCAAGCTTTACACCGTTATCAAGCTAAAAGCGACTACAACCAAATGGTGAGAAGTTGTCATTCTTAGAGTTGTATATTTTATTTTGACTCACCAGCTTCTAGAATGCTGATCAAACAATGAGTCTGTTCATCTCACATATATCACTTACAACACAACCAGTCTGAGAGATGTACAAACAGTGCTAACCAAACGTTTTGAAACAGTCATACAAACTAAATTAGTATGCAAACTCTAGTCCAAAAGAGTTCAATGTTTGTCCAGCGATACTTTTTGGTCTTGTTGGAGTTTGTGTAAAAGACAGCCCATTGTGCAGAGTTGCATGTGTCAAATTGCTTTAAAGTTAAAACTGATCAGGTTGATGTTTCAATATTAAAACTATCATCATCATCATCATCATCATCATCTAGAGACTGAAACTGAAAATTTGTAGTATGAAATACTGAAATACTAGTATTTACACTAGAAAGCAAAGCAGATGTTAATATTCTGTTTAACACTTGTACAAAATTGTGTGTCTAACTAAGAAAGCTGTTAGTTCTGTAGCGGTCTGGAGCAGTTCTGTTAGATCATTAATATGTCCTATGCTGGTGCTACGTAACAAATGCCTCCTTATCATAGCATATGAAGCATAGTTACCGGTATGTATTTGAGATCATTATCATTATGAATAGTTGTGAAGCATTTATTGTAAAATTAGCCAGGTGTAATAATTACCAATATTGTCATCCACTGCCTTCTAACTTCACATTCAATATTCAGGCTGGACTCACAACATTCCATATACACAAAACATACATGGTTAAATCAGTAACCAAAATCATGCAAAATAACATAATAATAAAATTGAAGACACACCACATCTCAATAATCATGTGATCAATAAAAACAGACTGGAACACATTCTTAAGACAAAATTATATCAAAACTGCAAATGCCCAGTGTTACCGAAAACATAAAGGACATATCAAAGAAACATCAACGGTACACTGAGTTCATATATAAGCAAAAATTATAACAAAACATGTGGAGAGTATCCAGAAAAGTGCCAACAAAATCCAATGGAATATAATCAAGAAAAAACACCTCGCCTTCTAACATGTCTTGGGGATAAGACCTTGAACTGACCTTGAAAAACATTTGTCAAAACCTCACCATCCTTCCTGTAAATTATATAAATGGCGCCATAGCAATGGTTTACAATCTGATACATGGTATGAAAGTTGTAGTTATTACTGCAATGATATAAGCCAAGTACTGAGGAAAGTGTTATAGCCGGAAGATAGAAGCATGTTAAACTTTTTACAAGATTTTATACAACTGGAAAGTAAACCTAAAGCAATGAAGAAATCTGATTCCATCTGTGGTTATAGACACGGGAGCTTGTAAAGCAAAGAACATGGGATCAAGGTATATACCATGGAAGCCTTTTAGGGCCATTTGTTTCTTTATTTTTGTATTGACATTTCAGGATAGTAACATAAAATTTCAACATATTATTTTGAAATTTCAACTTCATATCTTGAAATTTCAAGATCATTTTTTCTAAATTTCAAGATCATTTTCTTGACATTTTAATATAGCATTAGCATTTGTATTTTGAAATTTCAATGTAGTATCTTGAAATTTCAATCAAAAACATTTAAGAAATGACCCTAAAGTGCTTCAGTAAAATACTGTCACTGACAGGGTCTAAGCACTATATAGAAGGACAGTTCTTGTTATCTGACTAACTGACTGAGTTTGGTTTTACGCTTTTAGCAATATTCCCAACATCAGCGGGGAACACCAGAAATGGGCTTATTGGTGATTGAAACCTTGATGCCCAACGCTTTTTGCATTACAAGCCCTGTTATCTTGTGCTAAAATCCAATCAGAGTATAATTGATCAGTTTTTTTAAAGCCCTGTTTCCAGACATCTTTTTTCAACATTTTTGTAGTAGAAGCGAAAAGTCAATGGGTTGACAAGGGACATGCTTTGAAAACAAGTTTCTTAAAGTTCTGATGCAGAAAATGTTGAATGAGGTTGCTTTGATTTGATGTTACAAGATACAGTCAAACACTGCAGTGATGAATTGGAACCAGCCTTCCTAAATACTTTCATTCGACAAAACCACAAATTGAAGACCAAGTCAGTGACCAAGCCTTTACTTTGAGACAAGAGAAGATTGACACAGTTTGACTAATTATGGTTGTCACAATCCACTTCCCGGCACATTTATACCTCTATGTTGAAAGCCAGAAAGGCACATATGATGTTGAATGTTCAGTTGGGATTCAAACTCATTTATGAAGATCCTGTCACAGATAAGGGATGCAACTCCATTTAACAAGTTGTACCTTAGACCACTTGGCCAACGATCACTGTTATGTATCACAACCAAAATGTCTTCATGATCAAAATATCTCATTCCCAAACATGTCATCATTTAATGCTGTGACGTCACATTTAATGATTGGCCTCCACAAACAACACAGAACTGAAACCAATTTGTAGTGTGTGAGTGAATATGGTTTTACGCTGCTTTTAGCATTAATCCAGCAATATCACGTCAGAGGAAACCCGAAATGGGCTTCACACATTGTTAATACATGAATATATCCTGAACCAACCTTTTTCACATCAACAATATTTCCGCAAGAGAGTCCACATATGGTAAGGACAATTGAATGGATGATTCAATTTTTCAAGTTGAAGTATATCTTGAATAATGACACCCTTTAAACCACAATGCAAATGTTAAACAGAAGCACTTAAACTACATCAGTTGTGGCTGTTATGGCAAATAAATGTTGTGGTACAAGTAGAACCCTTCTGAAAGGATTACACATGAGACTGAACAAAATAGCTTCAATACACAGATAAAAGCAGTGGTAGTACATAAGTACAGTGTGCAAAGGTGGTGGTGGTTGTTATAATAACCCAAATAAAAGTCAGGTGTAAAACATCTAATGCATCCAGATGTTACTGGATGTTAAATCATGCATTAAATATACATATAACCTTCAAAATTAGTGCAAAATAGTCCCTGGGACTCATCAATATTGCCTTCCTCCCCCAGGACCAATACCGATATCTGAAGACAATCCACAGTATGAATATATCATAAAGATCAGAATCGCACATGTTTTCGTACACTGGTGGTTACAATACGTTCACTCACTCTGATTAAAATATTTTAATACGATTTCATATTTGATTTGTTACCATGGTTACTAGGAATCACAGACAGAGCTGTCAACTGGCACCTGTGTTAAGTAGGGACTGATTTAGATCCTTAAGGAGTCACATCTGATCCTCTGGGGATTGTATCATATTCTGTTGGGCCCTGTCACCTCAAGCCATGTCAGTAACTCATCTGATATCCCCTTAACCATTGATAAAACACAAACATTGTCTTGGCACTATTTCAACCATTGAGGACTATCTGATTGACATTATTGCTGAGACTTCTATATGCCTGTGACAGAGCCAAGGCTGACAATGAGCAACTGATGTTCATCTGACCAACTCACAAAGACATTTTAGTACAGGGACATTGGACATGTCAGTGTATGGAACCATCTTAGCATTGGTACATGTTTCAGTTCAGTGTATTAAAATTTTAAAAACCAATCTTAGCACTAAAACATTCCTCTGTATTGGGGTCACATCAGAGGTAAGATAAAGAATGTATCCTAGAATGTCTCCCCTTCTAAAAAAATATAATCATGTGAAATCTCTCTGTGTATACCAAGCCTGTGATCACCAAACAAACCTGGGTCCCGATCCACAGAGCATTCTAACATTATGACCTGTCGTAACCCTACACTTTACCATAGGCTTATGAATGGAGTAGCGCTAGAAACACATTGTGGATCGGGACCCTGGCCTTTATAAGTGTCATCACTATTCAAGCAGAAATGTCAGAGGGTCTGCCTGGGTCGCGATCCTCACAGTATTTGTAGCGCTATGACATTCGTAAGCCTATGATAGTGAGTGAGTGAGTTGGGTTTTACGACGCTTTTAGCAATCTTCCAGCAATATCAAGGTGGGGGACACCAGAAATGGGCTTCACAGATTGTACAGTAAGCCTATGATAAATTATAGAGGTACAACAGATCGTAACCTTATGAACACTTTGTGGATCGGGACCCTGGATATAATTGAATCAAACTAGTGACCGAAAGCATGACCAATCAATGACATGCAATCGGTCAAATCGCCATGGTTATTGAGCAAGCTGATGAGACTTGGATCTATCAAATGGGATAACCCATACAACCTGGGTTTCATTTTAGTCCCAGGAGTGAGTGAGTTTAGTTTTAAGCTGCTTTTAGCAATATTCCAGCAATATCATGATGGGGAACACAAGAAATGGGCTTCACATATTGTACCCATGTGGGGAATCAAAACCGGGGCCTTCCACGTGACGAGCCAAGGCTTTAACGACCAGGCTACCCCAGCAACCTTGTCTGGGACACGGTCTACCTCCAACACTCTTTTTTCTTTCTTTCTAGTTCATGTTATTTACAACTGCTCAGCTGTATCACAGTCATCTGTAAATAGTCAAGTCAGGACCAGACAATCCAGTGATTGACAACGAGGACATCTATCCACATGGATAGATGGCATACAATTGACCAAATCACTTAGCCTACCGAACCGACCCGTTTGGTAATCTCTTATAAGTATAGTTAGTTGGGGACTATTATTCTTTCCCCCAAAACTGTGAAATGAAGCGGACATGATTTGATATTGCTAAAGTATTGTTACAACCAGACAGTAACCTGCCATCACTCATTACTAACAGTGAATACTAGCACTAAGATTTCTTTGAGGAACACGACCCCATTCCACAAACCAATCTTAGCACTATGATGATGACAAGCCTGTGATAAAGTCTAGAAGTTACAATCCTGTAAGCGTTACGATCGGTTTGTGGAGCAATGCCCAGGGACCAGGACCTATCACAGCTGTAATGTATTTACAAATAAGTTTGTATTTCATATACATGTACACTGATATGTAAGAAAATAGACTATCACACAAGGTTGCATTTAGAATATCCAGTCGAAAATTTAAAACTGGAGATATGCAATCAGCAATATCTCCTTAAAATTACCTTAAAATTATATCAGTATTTTTTTAAAGGGACTTTGTTAAATTATCTTGATTTAAGGCAAATTTTTGACATATTTCGAATAACTGGTTTGTTTTTAAAAATAAGTTTTATTTGGAATTGCTTCATAAGTTTCCATACTGAGTTACTATTTTGAATGCAACCTTCCTAGTAACACTAGTAACAGCAACAGTCAATGAGGTGTATTCTTCCTCCCATGTTCAAGCAAATATAAGACGTAATATATCACACATGACTAAGATCAAGGTACAGCTCTTGTTGATTTAAACACAATGTAAGCAAATAGTATTTGATTACATTTCTAGAAATATCATTCAATGTAAACATCATCACATTAATCTCCACACATTTCCATGAACTGGAAGAAAAGTCAAAGAACGTTAATTTTGATTACTAATTAATTATCACAAAACGGAACAATATTACAGTACTAAACAGGACATCAGTATTATTCTAAGTTTGAATGTAGAAACGGAAACAACATATCATACTATTGCAAATTCTGTGGCAGTATTCAATGAAATACTTATCTGTTCTTAGCACAAAGAAATACAATTGCATTATCATGGAAAAATGGCTGGAATATGGAAAACGGTTGTAACAACATAGTTGTCTCCCTTACTTTGACAATAAAGGACAACATTTGGAGCAATTAAATAATAACCTGATTTTATGTAAGAATTTATATTACATCTGAATGTTGTTCATGTGATATGTCGCAATAACCTGATATGTTTACATTAGCTAACATATGAATAGTGAAAATATTTAATATTGTTTTCACAAGGCTATTCTAATTTTAGTGGCATTCAACATTGTGCTTTGTCCATTCCATACCATAATATTAAATCCTACATTAAAGCCTCTGTTTTTTCATTGGTCCTGATATGACTGAAACACAATAATCACGTTGACAAATCCAAGTGCATTTCAACTTCAATTTGGAAATTGTTGATTTCTTTTAGGACTTGTTACTGTACTGCTGTATAGACTGGAGCAGGTCCAGCTATGTCCCTGTAAATAAACTTGTACACTGGAAAAGGTTGATTTTCTACACCTCATCTCCTCTGTGGATTAACAGTGTTAAAAATATTTTGTCAGGAAAATAACAAACTTTGGTCAGACCATTCATTCTTAAAAGTAATTTCATAAGTATTTACTGAAATTCAAAGTTCCAAATACAAGCAACAAACACATCCAATACTCTAACATTCTGAATTTGGATGGCTATTTACAACTATTTCAATTATCCACTGTATATGTGCATGTATAAAACAGTCAAAGCCTTATTCATGCAGGCCATGGGAATACATACATGGGTGATGAACCTCTGTATATATGATGGTTGTTATTCTTCACCTATGCTCTCAATCTTTAGTTATTTGGGACGCATCGTCAAATTATATATCTAAGGACATGATGCATTTTGGGACGGCAGTGTTTACTCTTATATAACGAGGCAGGTTGTATCACACAGTCATTGTAAATATCCAGATGATGTCTTGTTTAACATAGATTTGTGGTTAATATGGTGACCTGTTTTACAATCGTTCAAGCAATAATCGAGAAAACAACAAATGTTTTTAGGAGTGCAAAAACCCACAAGAGGATATTACATGAATTATCATATGTCATATAGTATTATATCTCTCATTAATATGTGTGAAAAATGTGAAACCTTCAACAGTTGGCACCAGTGTGATAAATATTGGTAAAATATAGAACTCTGTGGCAACATGGCACTTCAATCAGCATGCAGTCACCACCATATTAAGATCATTATGACAATAGAAAACGTGCATGGATTAATGTTGACTTTGTCACATAATCATCTCACAGACTGGAATTGGATTTTATTTGTTTGGAATACTTTAAATGTTAACAAATCATAAAAATACAAGAAATATTTAGTTTCAACAGGTAATAATTCTCCCTAAGAACTTGACATTGAAATAAACTAACAATGTCATTATTAAAGTTGATAAGATCACTGAGTGATTGAGCTAATGACAGTTATTGCTTTGGATCCGTTACAGTATGGATCCGTTACAGTAAGTATTTAGATTAAGTATGGCTACAGCCAACAACATATCACCCTCGATTATCCAGCGTAACATACCTCCTTTCTTTTCGAATTAATACCACTTGCTTGTTGTTGTATATTGCGGTATGTCAAACTACCAACTATATGATGACTACGGCACCGTTGGAACATTCCACTTGTATAGATTACTGGTCGTCTATCATGAGTCGCCATTAAAATACACATGCGTTTAATCGGCCTGGTTGTCTTTCATGAAGAACCAGAGTTTGCAAGTGTATGAAGAACCCCAAAACATTACACTCGTGACATCTCAGCTCCATTGGTATGACACAATGCTAACAATAGAGGTCCTACTCTCATGTCTCAGAATAACAAACAGCAGAGACACAGATACCTGCACAGCTTCTGAAACAAAGCCAGAATGATGAACGAGTTCAATGTATCTTTGTAAAAGAATGGAGACACTGGATAATTGAAAATGATGGAATAACAGTTCTGTAACTTTCAAGAATGCATTGCACAGATCTACTACACAAATATTGTGGAACAGTGCTTCTTGCTGTTAACGTGACTAGTGTCGTTTGCTTATCTCCCCTTCTGAAATATATACACCATTCATTATGCAGTTGTTAAAAAGCAGAGAGATTTAAAGCAACATGTGTATCGTAGAGACATTTTGGAATCTTATAAATATATTCAATATTTTCAAGACAATGTTGTAAAACAAGTGAAATGGTACCAAATATATTGTTGAATAAATAAAACATGTATAATTAACAATAACAGACTAGGTCAACACTGACTGGTTCAATAATCAGGACTTTCAACAGATCTCACTTCATCACATGCTTGAATTCATTATCTTAATTACACCAATCAGTTTTGAAGACATAACTTATATTGATCACTGATTCATGTCTTAAACACCATGACCTTATGAAGACTCCAGGAATAACTTCATGGCTGACTTGTGTCAACCAGTTAGAAACAGCATAGTTCACTCCCAAGTGAAGTTCTGATCAATCAGAAGCAGCATATGTCACCCTTCCTTCCAGTCTTGACCAATCAGAATTTGCCGTCTGCTCCTGCTCCTGCCCCACCATTTGTGTCATGAGTCTGGAGAGTTTGACTGCAGTTGTTAAGGAAATTGTACAAACAAAGCTGCAAATGTTCTATGAAACATTATTCAACAACTTCTCTCAACCAATCACCCCTCCCAGAACACCATGCACACGTGCACCTTTAAAGAAGGTGACATACAGTCACGTCTGAAACCCAGAAACAGAGCAGAACATGTTATTAACCAATCACGACCAATCTTACCCATGAAGATCTGGGTTAGAATTTGTCTATAGAAACGAATGCTTGTTGTAAGAGGCGACTAACAGGATCTGGTTGTCAGGTTAGCTGACTTGGCTGACACATATCATCACATCATATTGTGTAGATTGATGCTCATGCTGTTGATCACTGGATTGTCTGGTCCAGACACAGTTATTTACAGACCGCCACCAAATAGCTGTAATATTGCTGAGTGTGGTGTTAAATAGCAAACAAATCAAGACAAACCTTATTGAAACAAGGGGGGCAACTCTGCACAGACTAACTGTGCTGAATTAGTGTCAACAAGTGACATCTACATTCTCAAAGGATACATGGAGGTGCTGAGCCCATGGAGCTGAAACAAACATCAAGAGTGAGTATGGTTTTACGCCGCTCTAAACAATATACTGGCAATATCCAGTGTATGAAATAAGGCCCGTCCGACCGACCGAGACGGGTTAGATTTCAGACGGACAGTCCAGCTTTACAGCTAGCCAGCCCGATGGTCTGGTTAATAATTTAGATGTTTTCTACTTCTGAGTCATATCTTGGTGTCTGGTCTGGTTAAATCCATTTTGGACTGGTAACATTTTGAAGTTACCAGCCCTGATGTCTGGCTGGAGTTTGGGCATATTTCATACACTGCAATATCATGTTGACACCAGAATGGGCTACGGACATGGTCCCCATTGTGGAGAATCGAACCCGGGCCTTCAGCATGGCAAGCAGTGCTTCAACCACTTGGCTACCAACATTAACCCATAAACATGAAGAAGTTTTGAGTGAGTGACATAGTGTCAAATGACATTCAGAAGAGAAAGACATAAAGGGGCAAATGTCAACTATAAGAGGAACACGATGTTTCAGAGTATATTCTTACTCCAACATCACAATTTCTGGAAGTCATATTCTGGATTACAAGAATTTCAACATTTTGGAGAATATTCTGTTTCCTTCAACAAAATTTACGGATGTCAACTTCTGTAGTATTAAAATCACAACATTTCAGAGTATACTTTTACTCCTTCCTCTTCAAATGAGGGTAAAACAAAGGTAGATCTTTATCTTGAACAAATTATATTACATTACACTATCCACAGACACAACGTGTAACTTCTGATTCGACCAAAACAGCATAAAATTGAGTATGGAACACAAACCCAGATCAGTATACTGGAAAATCCAGCTTGAACATTTTCTCAAACAAGGGGGTAGTCACCCAAAAATAAGACAATATCTAGCATAGTGTCATAAAAAAAATAACAAACATTTGTGAAAGGCTCATTAAGAACAGACCCGTGAAGCTCCGGGCTAGAATATTGATCTTCAGTAACTCATACTTGTCGTAAGAGGTGACTAACGGGATCGGGTGGTCAGGCTCGCTGACTTGGTTGACACATGTCATCGGTTCCCATTTGCGCTGTTCGATGCTCCTGCTGTTGATCACTGGAATGTCTGATCCAGACTCGATTGTTTACAGACCGCCGCCATATAGCTGGAATATTGCTGAGTGCGGCGTAAAACTAAACTCACTCACTCATTAAGAAAATGGACATTCCAGTGGGATAGTACTTTCGGATCTTATCTTTTCAGGATAAGTCATGAAAAAACATGAGGATGGTCATCCACAATTATGATGAACATTAGGGAAGGATCATTATTTTCAGGAATTACGCATCGAAATCCTTTGTCCACTGTAATAAATGATCAGATATTAAAAGGGTTAAGTGTAGCTTTTCATCTACCTGATCGATGAGTTTGGAGAGATTGTCATTAGCAGTTGTCCTCGCTTCATCTGAATTCAGTCTGAAATCGTAAACACAGAAAATCACACAAGTGACAACTTATGATAGGCAGATCCAGAGGAGGGATGCAGCTGTATCCACCCCTGCTTATGGTGAAAGTGTCAACTCCACACAGCAGCCTGGTCAGCTCAACCAGAGGAGGGGTGCCTGGTCAGCTCAACATATCACAGTAAATCAAGTGTGTGTCAGTGTGCACACAACTGTGTTATATTTGAGCAATGTTTTGTTGTTGTTGTTGTTGTTGTTGTTGTTGTTGTTGTTGTTGTTGTTGTTGTTGTTGTTGTGCTGCTGTGATGATGTATTCTTAATGTTTTCCAATACATTTTTATAATTCAAAACGGCAAAGCCAAACAATCAACAAGCTTTACAACACAAATTTTCAAGACATCCACAGGCAAACAATTGTACATTTCTGACCTGAATACAAGTCCTGTTGATGTCGTTTCAACTGGACCCTGCATTACATCTACAAGTTTTGATACATGATTCACAGGCAGGTACGACATATCACTGACCTGTGCAAGTCCTGTTGACGCCCAACTGGACCCTGCATTACATCTACAAGTTTTGACACATGATTCAGAGGCAGGTACGACATATCACTGACCTGTGCAAGTCCTGTTGACCCCTAACTGGACCCTGCATTACATCTACAAGTTTTGACACATGATTCACAGGCAGGTACGACATATCACTGACCTGTGCAAGTCCTGTTGACGACCAACTATCAACCTGGTGCCCGACTGGACCTGCCCACACCAAGAATTATATTTACAAGTTTAATACATGGCTCACAGGCAGGTACGTCCATCATATCACTGACCTGTGCATGTCCTGTTGACCCCCAACTGGACCCGACTGGACCTGCCCACACCAAGAATTATATTTTAAAGTTTGATACATGGCTCACAGGCAGGTAGCGTCCATCATGTCACTGACCTGTGCATGTCCTGCTGGATGTCCATCTCAAAATGCAGTCGGCGCCAACTTCTCCTGCTGCTCACGGATCTGGTCCATCTTCTCAAACGTTCCACCCCCACCTTGATGGACATACATCATGTTACATGGAATGAGCTGTAACCATGGTAACCTCTAACCAATCAATCACTGATGTTTCTTTACACCTTTGCACAATCACCTAGAAAACATCTTGTAAAAGGTCTGAAGCTCATCTAAATTTTCAGGGAACATTTATGACATGACTGTAATAGGTCATACAAGTGTAATAAACACTATGCTAAGTACATTTTCGATCAGTAATTTCAGGATGAACTATGTAGTACATTGTTCAGTAAGGCTAAAATGGCAGAAAAGTTTCAACACAAACATGTATTCCTTGAACAAAAAAGTCATCCAATAAATATATTTCATCTGACAAAAACTTGAGTATTTGGGTAAGCTAAGCAAAACAGTCTGGATTTGCAATCGAACTCTACATAACAAATACTGAAACAGTGGCTTATTTTCAGTGACCACTGCGCTTAATGCATATCTCACCAAACGCTCGCAGTTTGCCTGAATGGAAGTCTTCAAGCAATCCCAGCAGGCCCTGCTCCATTTCCCTCACGTCAGCAACATCAGTCAGGAATGAGTGCTCCTCACAGGGTCGAGATGCTTCTGTCACACTGCGGTCAAGTTTGTCTGCAATAATGTATATCACCTTCATACATGTATTAGTAATGGCGGGGCGGTGGGGTAGCCTAGTGGTTAAAGCGTCACCCGAAGACCCAGGTTCGATTCCCCACATGGGTGGGTACAATGTGTGAAGCGCATTTTCTGGTGTCCCCTATCATGATATTGCTGGAATAGTGCTAAAAGCGGCATAAAACTAAACTCGCTGACTATTAGCAGTGGCTATCACGATTGTAAGGGGCCTGTCCAAAAGAGATTATAACAATATAAGCATGACAATGTGTGAGTGAGTGGGTGGGTTTAGTTTTACACCACTTTTAGCAATATTCCAGCAATATCACGGTGAGGGACACCAGAAAAATCGGCTCCACACATTGTATGCATGTAAGAAGTTTTAACCCAAATTTTTTGCACAAGTGAATGGTTTAACCACCACCCCAGCATGATAATGACCATGAGCATAACTGCATATGTAGATGTTATGTACGGATTTTCAAGGAAAATTTACCTTACACTATACAAAGCAGTGAGAATGGAATTTAGGACATAAGGTATTTGCTTATGCATAATACATACAAGAATGGGAGTGACTGTGAGGATAAAGTCAGTCAGAAATACTTGTGTGTAGATTTATCAAGGATTCCAAACAAACAGTGTTCATGAATAGCCTCGGACCCTCAGACAAATCAGGCAGATTCGCCAACAGTCTGATGAAAGTCACACCTGTTTTCTGTTCATAACTTTTTCGTTTGTTAATAATTTCAATGCCAATTATAAGAAATGTTAAATCTGAAATGTGTGTTCAATTTTTATTCTATGGGTCCTGTGAATTTTTAATGGGTCAGACAGACATCTGAAACTTAGAGGACCCAATGATCCGTTACTTTGAAACACCATTCGTGAACACTGAACAAAGTGTCCTTGGCAGACACAATGGGGGGAAAAAATCAGTATTTTGGGCAAAATTAGAATCTGTTTGAAAGTTTCTAGGTTGTAAAGTTTAGTTGTATTTAAATATTAAAGGCACTATATAAGACCACACAGCTCTAAAAGTAAATGATGCATTTCTGTCAATAATAATAATACTATCAGCCATCAGGGAAGCTAAAAAGCACACACGCACGCACGCACACACGCACACACACGCACACACACACACATTTGTATAGCGCCAATGTCCCGTTCAGCTGCTCAAAGGTGCTTTGTTTTTCCCTCGATCACTGCATGGATGTCAATCTCAACGTCGTATTATCAATCTCAACTCCCCACTTGCAGCCACTAGGCACACCAATTTCCCATTATACCCATTCACAGCGGACACATAGTCACAGTACTTTGTACACATGTTGCTGTATCCCAAGAACTAGATGTCAGGTATTCATGTGGGCCACCAGGTGGGTTCTTTTAAGTGCACAGGGTTGTGTACTGTACACTAGAGGTTGTGCCAACACTGAACATACATACATACGCCAGCGTTGTTTTACACCCGGTCACCTCACACTACCATATAATTTATTACCATATAATTTATTCCAAAACATTACTTATTTAGATTACAATATTAAACTAAATAGTTTGAATGAATTAATGCAACATTGCATTAAATCGACTTTCACGCCCCCTCTACTGGCTGAACAACCCCATTGGGTTATGTCCCTTGGAACGCTCTTTATGAATATCCTACACACAACTTGTGATTGAAAACAGTTCGGCAATAACCGATAACACCGCGTGCGACAGTTTTTGATGTACAGAGCAATTTTTTACATTCCATATATGGAAAGTGTTCTCTGGTTGGAAGCCGTTTGTCTTGAAGTTTCAATTATCAATTTCAAGCAAGTCGTAAGGGATAATCAGTCTATTATTGCATCAATAGGAAGCTGAAGTGAGTGCATATGTCCCAATATACATACAATAAAGGCCAAAATATTGTCGAAAATGTGTGAAATTGTGCCTTTAAAGCCAAATAATTAATTCAATCTTTAATGGTCCTTAAATAAGCGAAATACAAGTCACCTACACAAAAACATGTGATCTTGATTGGATGTATCATGACGTACCTGGTGTGATTTGAGAAAAAAAAGGGTTTGGGGAAAACCATAATTACAACATACTTTTAGCTTTCCTGTCCATGGGTAGATGAGAGTAGACATTTTGCTGCTGTGATGTTTTCTTCTTGCTGCGACTGTGACCATGGTGACTGTCGGATTCCTTCTTTCCCTCTCTAGGAAGACCATCATGGCTTGCCATTTTATTTAAAATGAAGAGAACTTCCTGAATGTTCTGAAAATAAAATACAGTTCTCTGCACCATACAACAGTACCACAATGTCATGTCAACCAAGTCATCATTCTCTGGCATCTATAGCATTGCACAACAAAAGGAAGGAAATACACCAGAAAACCATTGTGTCCAATGTCATGCTCCCTTCACGATCAACCAAGCTTTATCATTATATGGTGGGTTAAGGTATTATCTATACGATATCTATATAAATTGCATTCATTGGCTCCAAAAGGAAGGGAAATACTGCAGTTAACTCTGGTACACTGGTTTCATAGGAATAAATACTGAAAACATCCCCCTAGATTACAGTCCTGTTAACAATTTCTTTCAGTATGTTTATTGCACAGAAGAATATATATTCAGGTGATATGATTTTACAAGAATGAAATTTAAGGGGTATATAGAAGTCTTCCGATTCTTACGCTGTTTTCAAGTTAAAAGTGTAACTTGAAAATGGTGTAAGAATCTACACCGACATGTTGCTCTGTGCAATAAACAAAAAGTTGTCATCCATAAAGTTGTATGCTTCATTATTGACTCACCAAATTCTAGAATGCCGATCAAACAATTATGTTCCTGTTCAAACAAGTCTTGTCTTGCTAACCATGCTAAACCAAACACTTATTCTTGTGAGAAGATTTAATTCCCATATGTTATTGTTTTATGAATCATTAAATGCTTACATTCATAACAGACCTTCTGAATAATCGTTATTCTGGCCAAAGCACTGATTTATTCATTTATGTCGGAAGACATTTATGTTTTGACACTGATCGAAAACTGGACAAAAATGTCAAGTATACAGATTGAAGAATTTTGTATTGAGCTTCGAGTTCGTGTTGCTTAAAATAATACCTACTTCAAATCACCCAGATGTTCTACTCCAACACCAAAACCTTCTCCTGTGGGGATTTTCACAGCTACCCTGGTTTACATTGCTAATTGTATGTAGAAACGTAATGAAATCTCTAGTTTTGTTTACGACGATTTCCCCAATAAGGAAATAACTCCTGAACAATATCCGGTCAACTTGTCGATAATGTGTCAACTGACTGAATTTTGTTTACTTAGTTCGAATCCATGTTTCAGAATGGTGAAAAATGACAAAGTATACCTAGATAAACATAACATATATATTTAGTTTTGATTTTGATTTTAGAATTGGGGATGTCATATGTTGTGAAATATTTTGGACTTATCGCGAATTTGATGCATTAATAAAAATCTTAACGTCATTAAATGCATAAATAGCCAAATTTAGGATATGATAAAATTAGGTTACTAGATCTAGTTCTTGTTCTAAAATGCGAATTTATCAATAAAGGAATTGCTGGTCTGTATAGGGAGACAGCAGATAAAGTCAACTCGGTATCGTTAGCCTGTCTCACAGTCCCTGAACTGCATTGCCCTTCCCCTGCAATTAAGAATCAGAGACCATATAGAAGTCTCCTGGGAGAATTGTCCCTGCTGCTATCCCTGCTATAGCCCAAAATGCTATATGGCAGGAAGTCTGTAAATAATCCCGGAATCACTGGACTCCAATCCAGTGATTTAAGCATGAACATTTGTTGATCTACGCAAATGAGTGGGATACGATTCAGTATATACTATAAGTCAGTCAAGCCTGGACCAATCCAGTGATCAACAGTGAGAAATGACATGTATCAACCTCTTACGACAAGCATATCCCGGGTCTCTGAAGATCAGTTATTATTCAGTTACCCGGATCTTCGCGGGTCTGTGATAAACCCATGCCGGATGGCATAACCAATTAATTCAAACCGAACGAAAAAGACAGATGTTTATTAACTTAATTACAGTTTTTGATTCCACTGGAATCGGCAATATTGAGCGGTATAAAACAAGCGGGAAGAATTTCACGGTTTAAAACAATCGTAGAAATCGCAACCAAAAAGACGAACTTGTAATCATTATCTAAATAATAAATTAATCGCATTTGTGATATCAACAAATGAATTACTGATATCTTAAAATATAGAACATAAATAGTGAAACGGCGTCAAATAGGATATGTATATGCAACTATAAAGATATTTAACTATCTTCAATATCTTTCACCATTATCACGAGTACAGTTTTGGTCTTGGGGTGATTTTTCATACTTTAAAATACACCTATCAATGTATCTACGAGGCTGTTGATTTCTTCCAAAGGACACTCCAAATAACATCAAAACGGCGAAGCAGTATCAAAATCTGTACATAACTCATTTCTGGTAGAAAGAGGGCCTCCAGTATAGTTAAAGCGTCCGCTCGTCACGCCGAAGACCCGGGTTCGATTCCCCACATGGGTGCATTGTGTGAAGCCCATTTCTGGTGTCCCCTGTCGTGATATTGCTGGAATATTGCTAAAAGCGGCGTAAAACCATACTCACTCACTCTGGCTGAAAGTTCTTGACTTGGCTGGTTTCAGCGTATATGAAATATATAGACGGAGCCAAGTCAAATTCTTTGCGGAAGTTAACTTGCGCTTGTGACTGACAGGGCTCGTCCGAGAAACATGCCGGTCTTACAGGGCACCGCACTAACAATGAGGATATTATCACCGTGTACATGTCGCTGTGTGTGTAAAATATTAGACAGTCAATGTAAATGGTCACTGATCAGCCAAAGAAGGCACTCCATAATCGCACATGTACGTGAATGGTCGAAGCAGCCCTCGCATAAGGGGTCTAGACTTTATACAGTCTCCTTTAGGAATTTTAACAGTTCTTCGCAACAAACTCCATTTCAACGTAAAATTCAAATTGCATCTTTTATTTCTTGTGGTATTGGTGCTTGTTTGTTGTCTGCAATAGGATGGAGACAATATACACGGTTTACCCGTAAGGCTCGAGGCGCAGAAGCTATAAAAACCAGCAAGTGACAGGTAGGCAGGTGATCTCCTATAAGTATCGAGGCTACATCATTCCTGCTTTCATGGTGGATAATTTGGATCAGCTGCACAGGTTCCAGGTTAGAGAGGATGATGTATGGATTGTCACGTTTCCTAAAGCAGGTGAGACTCAGATTAAGTGAACCAAAACAGGGCATGTAAAAAGGGAAGGGGCGGTAACTCTAGTACATTGTATTGGAGTACCCCTAATTCTGTGATATGTATACTAGTATTGTTTTATGAAAACAATCTCCTAACTCAGTGGTTACACAATAAGTCACTAATATTTGCATTTCTTTCTAACAAGAATTATTTCTGATATTTATATGTTTTAACAACCACAAACTTTATGATAAAGTTTCAGTCAGCATGGAAGTGTTTATGTACATAACCAGATGTTTTAATCTATACATTATCTAAACACTCTTTGATAGAACTTAAGGGGTGATCATCTGTACAAAAGTTATACTATGAGAATATTATGACCAACTCATTTGGTGTTATGAGTTTTCAGATGCTTAAGAACATCTGTTGTTCAATTATCTCATGAGTTTAACATATGTTATATTTGGGATTACACTTTCTCAGTAAAGTACTGATTCTAGTACTTTTTTTAGGTTGAGTCCCATCCGGGATTCGAACCCACACCCTCAGAGTCAGGCACCTTATCGCCAGAACACAAAATCAGGCGCTAGACAACTCGCCAGCGGCTTCCACTTTACTAAGAAAGTGTAATCACAAATATAACATATGTTACATTTGACCACTTTCTAAAAAGGCATTGTGTATTCTTATCTCATGAACAATTGTGAAACATGTCACAAATGTATTAAAGACAACTTTATCATAAACACAAGCCATCATCCGTGTATTTCACAATGTCTGTGTGACACAAAACACCTTGCTGTAGTGACAGTAAATACTGCTATCTGAAAACGGACATTTTCACTCACTCAATCACTCACAAACTCATTCATGGCTGTGGCAACGTAAAATATATCAATTCATCTACATTTGTGTAGTATGAAAAATGGTTGTTTTGTGGCAATTTATATAATTTTAATATATGCATATAGTTTGTACTATACTAGTTATAATATAAACAGTAAATACCCACATGTACATTAGTATATACATATTTATCCTCTGATTTTCAGGTACAACATGGCTTCAAGAAATTGTCTATCTCATTGCTAATGACCTTGACTTCGAGAAGGCGTGGAGTAAGATCTTGGAGGAGAGGTTCCCATATCTGGAATTTGTCAACCCGGGATTGAAAGCTATTTCCAGCATGGAATCTCCAAGATTTATTAAAACACATTTACCACCATCACTGTTACCAAGAGAAGTTCTCTCCAAGAACCCAAAGGTGATTTTATATGGTCATTAAGGGTCCCTGTAAGTGACTTAAAGAGATGAATTAATTTTATGACACACGGACCTGATCCACAAAGTTTGAGTTTGGCATTAAACAACAAACAAATATTCAGTTTTGAGATGTACAGAAATAAGATTAACTGCCTGGAAGCATCACTTGCTCTGGACTAATGCTTAGTCACTGAATAAATATAATTTTTGTAGAAACAAATAATACCTTTAAGTTGAAAAGGAGTCCCAGGGAGATGGACCTGAGAAAAGTTTAGAGCTTTAGCATTGCAGAAAGGGCTGGGCTGAAAAGAAAACAATGCAGTTCAGGGACTGTGAGAGAGACCATACTTGCTGACTATAAAGAACACATATTACATTATAAGACATGAGCTCATATGGAGGATTTGTGAGATCTTGATCTATCAGTTGGAGAGAAAATTTAGATTTTTATGAACTTTCAGGTGATGTGTTTTAATTTTATCTTATGTGTATGATAATCAGTTGTGTTTGCACTATTCCATTGATTACTTCCACAGAAGTGGTTCACATGAAGCTGTGGATCCTTCAGCTCTCTCCACACCCAAAATGACTGACATGCAATTGAATATTTAAAGCATGTTTTACCATAATATAGCTCCATGTGCGAAATATGCATTATGTCGGAAAGTGCATGTTAAGTCTCCAAATCATCATCGTCATGATGATATAACCACTGAGGGTTAATATACTGTTCAGAGCTGGTAAATATTGTTATAATGGTGATCTTGTTGTAAATATTCAAATTATCAAAAATTAATAACTTTAGCAAAGCCAGAAAAACTCAGTTGAGCCACGGAACTTTTTTACTCTTTTCATTAGGGCAGACCAATTTTATTTCTTGTTTTACGGATCCGCCAGTTGTATTTTTTCACGAATAAGACAAAAAGATAAAAATTAATTTTCTCCGCTCAAAAAATAAAATCCTTATGGTTTTATTTGGCCAAAAATGTAAACTTACAAGAATGTTTTTTTTATTGTTTTTTGCCCCATATACACTGCACAAATTGCCAGAAGTAAAATACTTTTAATATTTAGAAGGAATATTACTTTGACTTGTGATTTTATTGTAATCTTTTTCACCTCCTGCCTTTAGTGTTTTTGAGGACAAAAATCTGTAAAACAAGAAATAAAATTGGTCAGGCCTTATCATATTTAAATGAACATGACAGTTTTCTGACTACAGCTGATCTACCTGGCCCGGAACCCGAAGGACACAGTTGTGTCGTACTACCACTTCACCAAGTCTCTTGCTACTATCAACTACTTTGGAGACTTCAATGTGTTTTTTGACCAGTTCATCAATGACACAAGTGAGCCATCAAAACTCATAGCTCAACAACATTGTGAACCATATAACATTGTCAGTACCTTCATATACACTCCAGGTCTCCATCACTCTGTGAGATGAAGTTGCTATTTTCAATGAGCAAATCAAACCAAGTCCTATTACTTGCAAAATGGATTATTTTGCCTGTAGTCTCCACTTTTCAGCTTGACATTGTAATATTTACTTTCATGTGTAAAAATTGGGATAGTTTGCACAATGAGTGTCAATCTCTGTAAAACACACTCCAAATTTATACCCATATTGCAAGATATTTCAGTATAGTTCTTTTGCCAATGAACAGCCCTAGTAGAGACAGGTATGCTTGCGTGATCACACACAGTGTAAATCAATTGCATATTTGAAAATATTTATGCATGTTTGTATGCAACCAAGTCTAAATTAATTGTGTTATGGTTATGCGTTGCACATCTTGTACCCAACTACTGGCAAACAGGATAAGTTGGACCAGCAGAGAACGCGTTTACGAGATGTAGGCGGTACACGGAAGTGAGCAAACCCATTTGGTTTGTGAAAGGTAGAGCAGATGTAGGCTAGTGCATGTGCATTGCAAGATGATGAAATTGATTCCGCACGTAACTGCACACGCCTAGCTCAAAAGACTCTCCCGTCTGTGTAGCAAGTCACACTATACTTGATCACGGACAACCTGGGGCCCCTTCGCTAGCAATGGCAAGCGGCACTCATACATGCTAATACGGGTCAGTTGTCAGGTCAGTGCTCAACTTATCCTAGTTTGCCAGTACACAGGTTTTCTGGAGGTCTGTTGTAACACACAGTCTATGTTTGTCAGTTTCTTACAGCCCATGGTGGAAGCATGTGAAGGAGGGCTGGAACCTGAGACATAAGGACAATGTCCTGTTTCTTACCTATGAAGATCTGCATAAGGTCAGTTTACGGCTCTCACTGAGCAAATATACTTTGCGCTTATATGTTTATTGTACAGTCCGTTTGAGACAAAATGATACCGATGAATTGCAATCTAACACAAAAACAAAATGACATAAAAGAATCAAACCAACATGGAGTGCAATATAAACAACAGACCAACTCTAGACAAAAATTGCAGATTTTTGTCACAAAAATAAAACTTGTTTAAGAAACTGTCATCATTTATTTGTGCATTTTCCCAGTTTGTGACAAGGGCGCAGTGGCAACTAAAGCAACAGCTCGAAAAGCGAGATGCACGTGCATTAGTGACGTCAGAGACGTGTGATTACTGCTGATTGACAAAGTGAGAAATTTGCTTCCGACGTAAAGTCTATAACTAACAAAGTCTATGATTTCTTCAAGGATTAAATTGACAACAGGAGACCCAAGTATGCAATGATGACAGTTTCTTAAACAACTTTTTTTATTTTTGCGACAAAAATACTGCAGTTATTTCTAGAGTTGGTCTGTTGTTTTTATTGCACTCCGGGTTGGTTTGATTCTTTTATGTCTATTTGTTTTTGTGTTAGATAGCAATTCATCGGAACCATTTTGTCTCAAACGGACTGTACATGTCATGCCTGTCATGTCGAGTGATGACTGTCCCTGTCAGAATGAGTAAGTGAGTGAATGAGTATGGTTTTACGCCGCTTCTATCAATATTCCAGCAGTATCTCATCGGAGGACACCAGAAATTGGCTTCACACATTGTACTCGCATGCAGAATCAAACCCAGGTTTTAGCCACTAGGCTACTTCAACACTGTCAGAAGGCATGGATGCCACTGATAGGGCTCTGTGGATAGAGTGAGTGAGTGAGTTGGGTTTTATGCCATTTTCAACAATAATCGAGCAATATGATGGCGTGGGACACCAGAAATGGGCTTCATACATTGTACCCAGGGAATCAAACCGTGACCTTCAGCATGACGAGCGAACGCTTTAACTACTGGACTACCCCACTGCCACTGAATAGTGAAAAATGGACTCAAGAACCCATGTCTCAAAACGAGATCCAGACTCAAGGACCCTATTTCAAGAGTAATATGCCTCCTGTTAGAGCTCAAAGTATTGTGAAGAGCTAAGCAAGGTTCAGTTTCCTATCTTGGTATCCGGTGGAACCCCAGTCCTCGGGCCACCAACATTGTTGCAGTGTTGACACATCCCTAAATAGTATACCAAAATATTTTTAGAAAGTATTGTGTAAATCATTTTTACTTACTAACAACTTCAGGATATCAGAGGCTGTATTCGCACAGTGGCCAACTTCCTGGAAAAGTCTCTGAGTGACCAACAGGTGGAGACACTGGCCAGACATGTGACGTTCGCCAGCATGAAGGTGAACCCAAGTGTCAACTACAGCTGGTGGGCGGGCTGGGCTGTCAGGGAGGGCCACGAGAACCAGTTCCTTAGGAAAGGTGAGCAGACAATGGCCATGTATTTATTGACCTTTGTCCTAAACTTTTCTCCTTTAAATTTTGGTTGTAATTTCCTCATGCATATTTTTTTTTATACTAGTATCAGGCAGTTGGTATGTGAGGATCATAATTAAGTTCACACAAGCAGTCTGTTTAGACACTATATGATTAAGTTATTTGTACAAAATATATATCGTCCTATAACTTGAAAATGCTTATTCTAGTTTCCATGATTACGTCAAGAAAAAGGAACTTGAAATATGATTTCTCTTGGAAGCAAACATATAATCCTTTCTTTCCAAGTGGAGATAAATCTTCCTTCCTTGTCTGCTAAAGAGATCATTGTTGTCCACTGCACTGCTACCACTGTAGGGAATTTGTGAAAATTAATTGATTATCTGTTTGAAAAGCAATTGACAATCAATTATTCATTCTAATCCTGTGTTTACCAGGTGGAATGTTGACATATTGCATGTTGACCAGATAGTATACTGACATATTACCTGTGTTGGTGACCAGATAGTATATTGACTTATTGCCTGTGTTAACCAGATAGTACATTGACATATTACCTGTGTTGACCAGATAGTGTATTGACTTATTACCTGTGTTGACAGATAGTATATTGACTTATTACCTGTGTTGACAGATAGTATATTGACTTATGACCTGTGTTGACCATATAGTATATTGACTTATTACCTGTGTTGACAGATAGTATATTGACTTATGACCTGTGTTGACCATATAGTATATTGACTTATTACCTGTGTTGACAGATAGTATATAACTTATGACCTGTGTTGACCATATAGTATATTCACTACTTATTACATCTGTTGATCAGATAGTATATTGACATATTACCTGTGTTGACCAAGGATGTATATATTGCCTGTGTTGAGCAGGTATTGTTGGAGACTGGACCAGCCATCTGACCCCGGAGATGAGTCGCCAGATGGATGACATGGTGGTGGAGAAGCTGCAGGGGACTCAGCTGGTGCTGGAAGACCAGCCTGCATCAAGACAAACACCATAGAAGGTTACAGCTGATCCACAGCTGATCCATAGTAAGATGAACAGTGTAGACCCAACAACAATAAACCATAAGTTAGACCACCTACTTTTGTGATAAGTCAAAATGAATGACCCAGGTCATGAACAACCTCTCAGCTTGTCCAAAGCAGAACATGAAACATCCAAATGTGACAATAGTCAATCCAGGAACATCTAAATGTGACAATAGTCAATCCAGGAACATCTAGATGTGACAATAGCCAATCCAGGAACATCTAGATGTGACAACTGCCAATCCAGGAACATCTTGATGTGACAACAGCCAATCCAGGAGTATCTAGATGTGACAATAGCCAATCCAGGAACATCTAGATGTGACAACAGCCAATCCAGGAGTATCTAGATGTGAAAATAGCCAATCCAGGAACATCTAGATCCAGGTAAGATGGAACAAGAGCCAATCCAGGAACATCTAGATGTAACAATAGCCAATCCAGGAACATCTAGATGTGACAACAGCCAATCCAGGAACATCTAGATGTAACAATAGCCAATCCAGGAACATCTAGATGTGACAACAGAGTATCCAACAGCCAGGAGTATCTAGATGTGACAATAGCCAATCCAGGAACATCTAGATGTGACAACAGCCAATCCAGGAACATCTAGATGTGACAACAGCCAATCCAGGAACATCTAGATGTGACAACAGCCAATCCAGGAGCATCTAGATGTGAAAGTAGCCAATCCAGGAACATCTAGATGTAACAACAGCCAATCCAGGAACATCTAGATGTGACAACAGCCAATCCAGGAACATCTAGATGTGACAACAGCCAATCCAGGAGTATCTAGATGTGAAAGTAGCCAATCCAGGAACATCTAGATGTGACAGTAGCCAATCCAGGAACATCTAGATGTAACAATAGCCAATCCAGGAACTTCTAGATGGAACAATAGCCAATCCAGGAGTATCTAGATGTGACAACAGCCAATCCAGGAACATCTAGATGTGCCAATAGCCAATCCAGGAGTATCTAGATGTGACAATAGCCAATCCAGGAACATCTGAATGTGGCAGTAGCAAATCCAGGAACATCTAGATGTGACAATAGCCAATCCAGGAACATCTAGATGTGACAATAGCCAATCCAGGAACATCTAGATGTGACAATAGCCAATCCAGGAACATCTAGATGTGACAATAGCCAATTCAGGAACATCTACATAATAATAATAATAAAATAAATAATAATAATGTATTTATAAAGCGCTTAATATCCACCGTGGAGATGCTCAGTGGTGCTGTGACAATAAGGGAAAGCAAATAGGTCATATAGCTTTTACAGAAAGGCAGCAGTAACAGATGGGTCTTTAGCAGAGATTTAAAAGTTTCTTTCGATGAAGTGTTCCTGATTTCCTTTGGAAGAGAGTTCCACAGTTCAGGGCTGACAAAGGAGAAGGCTCGATCAGACAGTTGGTTTGGAGATATGCTTTGGGTGAGGAGAGAGTCAGAGGAGGATCAGAGACTTCGCTGGGGTACTTACATGGAGACGAGTTGTTTGAGATAGTCGGGAAAGTTATCATTGTAGAGGCAGTGTGGGTGATACATCTGGCAGCGGATTTTTGTATTCTTTGTAGTTTCTGGAGTGATTTAGTGGAACGTTTGGCATATAGTGAATTACAGTAGTCAGGTTTAGAATGACAAGGCAGTGCATAAGAAGTTTACATGTGTCAGTTGCGAGGTAGTGGCAGACTTTGCTGATATTAGGGATGTTGTAGTAGCAGGCTCTACTGATGGAGGTGATGTGTGCATCCGTGGACATGTTGGAATCAAGGATGACACCAAGATTACTGGCACTCTCAGATGGTGGGACGTTTGTGTCGCCAATATGAAGTGAAGTGATGGAGAAGCTTCAGCTATATAAGCTGATGTTTGGAGCCAATAAGTAGGAACTCTGTCTTCTCCTCATTCGGCATCAAATAGTTGGAGATCATCCACGATTTGATTTCCTGAATGCAGAGCTCAAGTTTGTTGATATTGAGTGAAACATCATCTGATTCAAAGGCAAAGTAGAGCTGCGTATCATCCGCATATATGTGGAAGCAAATGAAAGGCCTCCTGATAATGTCACCAATGGGGGGAATGTAGACTGTGAACAGAAGGGGGCCGAGATCTGATCCCTGGGGAACACCATATAACAATGGTGACTTTGATGATTGTACATCTCCGATTTTTACAGATTGTGTGCGACCTCGCAAATATGAGGAATCCACTTGAGTGCAGTTCCTGTTATCCCCATGCGATGTTAAAGTCGATGCAGGAGTAAGGTATGATCTATGGTATCGAATGCGCTGGATACATCAAGGAGCACAAGCGCTGTCACCTTCTTCTGGTCCATATTGACAAGGATGTCATTGTGGATTCGCACCAAAGCTGTCTTCGTACTATGAGATGTCTTGTAGGCTGACTAGAACGATTCTGCGAGGTGGTTTGTCTCAAGATGCGCCTTCAGTCTGCCAGTTACCACTTTCTCTAAACATTTAGATACAAATGAAAGGTTGGAAATTGGATGGAAATTTTTCAAATTGTTTTCATCAGCTCCAGGTTTCTTAAGAACTGGCGTGACAATTGCATGTTTAAAATACACTTGGAACAGTACCAGAGGAGAGTGATGAGTTCGTTCATAACGCCCCAGACTGCAGGTGCTACATAGTGTAGCACAGATTTGAACAGCCAGGTAGGAATGGGATCCAGAGGTGAAGATTTAGATGGTGCATTCTTCATGATATCCAGTAAAGGGTTGACAGAAACGTGTCCGAAGCTTTCAAGCACATTACCAGAGAACTTGCTCTCATCAGAAGGGAGCTAGTTTGACTGTATCCTGTATCAATGTTGGTTCCTATCTGATGTATCTTGTCCTGAAAGAATGTAGCAAAGTTCTCAGCTAGAACAGTTGGAGTAATGTGCTCTGGAAGCTTGTGTTCCGAGTTGCCCTTTAGAAGTTGGTTCAACAGTTTGAACAGTTCTTTTGAGTTGTTCTTATTTTTGGTTATATCATCTGATACAAAGTTGTGCTTTGCTGCTCTCAACGCTGAGTTCACTTTATTTCTGCTAACTTTACATATCTGGCGAAGCACTTCGAGTTTGCTCCTGCGACAAGTCTTTTCAGTAGATCTGCACAGATGTTTCAAGTGTCTGACTTCATCATCATACCAACTTGTATTTGCCTTGGCTCAGGCTTTGATGGATCAAGAATAATGTCAATCAAAAAATGATCAGAAATCTGATTATCCGAATCATTATTAATTGAGATGAAGTCATCCGTATCTCTAGTAATAACAAGATCCAAAGTATGACCATGTGTGTGTGTGTCTGTTTTCACAGGTTGTCGAAGATGACAGCAGCAGAAGGAAATCCTGTGCAAACTTGTCCAGACTTCTGTCAACATGAATAATACATATCTCCAACCTGTGAAGGTCCGGCTTAGAATATTGGCCTTCAGTAACCCATGCTTATCGTGAGAGGCGACTAACAGGATCGGGTGGTCAGGCTCGCTGGCTTGGTTGACACATGCCATCGGTACTCAGTTGCGCAGATTGATGCTCATGTTGTTGATCACTGGATTGTCTGGTCCAGACTGGATTATTTACAGGCCAACGCCATATAGCTGGAATATTGCTGAGTGCTGCGTAAAACTAAACTCACTCACTCATTAAAATCTCCAATGATCAGAAGATGCCCACGAGAGACTGCTACTGTTTCAATTAGCTCTGACATTTCAGTAGTAAACATATCATTTGTAAGTTTGTATTTCTTTGATGGTGGTGGTCTATAGACAATGAGATTCTTGATGTTATATAGATCAAGAACCTCAAATGATTCGAAGGCATGAACACTTGAATTGACAGCCTTCATGGAGTTTTTGTATAGAGCTGCTACACCACCACCTCAGCTACGCTGTCTGTGATTTAACAATAGCCAATCCAGGAACATAAAGATGTGACAATAGCCAATCCAGGAACATAAAGATGTGACAATAGCCAATCCAGGAACATAAAGATGTGACAACAGCCAATCCAGGAACATAAAGATGTGACAGTAGCCAATCCAGGAACATAAAGATGTGACAATAGCCAATCCAGGAACATCTAGATGTGACAACAGCCAATCCAGGAACATAAAGATGTGACAGTAGCCAATCCAGGAACATAAAGATGTGACAAAAGCCAATCCAGGAACATAAAGATGTGACAACAGCGATTCCAGGAACATGAAGATGTGACAACAGCCAATCCAGAAACATAAAGATGTGACAGTAGCCAATCCAGGAACATAAAGATGTGACAAAAGCCAATCCAGGAACATAAAGATGTGACAACAGCCAATCCAGGAACATAAAGATGTGACAGTAGCCAATCCAGGAACATAAAGATGTGACAATAGCCAATCCAGGAACATAAAGATGTGACTATAGAAAATCCAGGAACATAAAGATGTGACAATCGTCAATCCAAGAACATCTAAATGCGTTATGTTCCTGAAAGAGAAAATGTGTCATATTGCTTTTTTTATAGTAGTGTCTTATTACCCTACCTTTTCGCAATATTGATTAGGATTTTCTCAGTGACATTGATATCACCCAACACCATAACCGATCCACCACCATGTGGTCTCAGGTTGTCATTGGCTTGATGTCCATGTTGACGTCGCAAGGCACAACCACGCCTATCAGGAAAGTGAATCGTGGACTCATCTGAAAGCTTGACACGTGACTGGCGACAATTACGTAAGTTTCGACATTGTATATACCGCTCGTCGGAGGCAGCAGAAACGTGGCCGCCGATCATGAAGATGCGCCGCATGTAGCCGATTTCTAATCGTCTGACCCGATACCCGTACCACAGTAGCCTGATGTACCTATGCAGAAAGTTTATGGGCCATTTGCGAAGAGCCTTGTTTCGGATCAATCGATCCTGTACACTGACCAACCACTGACCTGCAACGCTCTTAAGGCTTTTGGGGGTTTGTTCGTACCTGTTCCATAGTTAGTGTATCTCAGACGTGAAACATTGAACCTATTGGCTGACTTGTTGCT